AAAAAAAAAAAAGGAAGGAACCAAGTGTCCATTGGCAGATGAACGGATAATGTGGTATATATACATGCAATGGAATGCTATCAGCTTTAAAAGGAGGGAAATTTTGACACATCCTGCAATATGGATGAATCTTGAAGACATTAAGTAAAATAAGACAGTTAAAAAATATTGCATGATTCATCTTATATGAGGTACCTAGGGAAGGCAAATTCATAGAGACGGAAAGTAGAATGGTGGTTGCCAGGGGCTGTGGGCAGAGGAGAATGGAGAGTTAGTGTTGAATGGGTTTAGAGTTTCAGCTGGGAAACATGAAAAAGGACTGGAGATGGATGCACAACGATGTGAATGTATTTAATGCTACAGAAATACACAGTTAAAAAGTGGTAACTTTTGTTGGGCATATTTTACCACAGTTCAAAACCCTAATTGTGTCACTAGATACACATCAGACAATGAACAGTGGAGCGCCCGCAAGAGTATTGCACAAACGGAAGCAGAAGACTTCAGAACAGATTATTTTCCGAAGAGTTGTTCAGCCAAACATATTTTTAGGTATAGCCAATAATCGCAGATTTAGGAGTAAAAGAACTAATTACGCCCAACGTGGGGCTCGAACCCACGACCCTGAGATTAAGAGTCTCATGCTCTACCGACTGAGCTAGCCGGGCGCTTCAAGTTAAACTTTCAACAATTTTTTATTCTACACTAGATTTGGCCTGTATTCAACTATGGGTTTTAATTTGGATTTATTTGGAGTGTGATAAAACTACGAAAGTGTCTCGACTCGTGGGAAATTCAAACTCCGTCATCCGTTCAAACCTGACCGTCCCTCCCACTTATGTCTGTTTTCTGCTTCTTCTACCCTACCAGCGACCAAACCATTTTCTACCCGAGATGAAGCTCACGGCACAGAGATGAAAAAACAAGTGCATCCTGACGCCACTGGAGCTCTCACCGTGTGGATTTTTAAACAGGAGGGAAAGACAATGAATGGGGCCCAGAGGAGGGCAGGGACCGCCGCGGTCTTTCTCCACCAGCGGACTCCAACCTGTGGGGCTTTTCCTGACGCTCTGCAAAGGTGCTAGATTTCAAAACTTGAAAGAAAAATGGAAAACAGATATTGAAGGTGCAAAACTTTGCTGGAGATGCCGGGGATCGAACCCGGGGCCTCATACATGCAAAGCATGCGCTCTACCACTGAGCTACATCCCCACCTGTTCTTCGTGTTTCTCCTGGATCACTCTTATTTGTTGCTTAGCTCAAGGCACCGGGAGTCGATGGCAACCGTTGTGAGCTGGACCTCAGCTGCTGCAAAAACCTGTTCCAGGATCCTCCGCTGACTCCACACCAGCGGATCTTGACCAAGGGAGTCCAAGAGGGAGGAATTAGGCCCGGCTAAGCACCTGGGAGCAGCGGTGGAAAAGGGAGAGAAAATCAAGCAGGATGTCAAAAATGAACTGTGGCCTGAACAAGAGAAGAGATCGAGGCAGTAAAATACAGAATATTTGATTAACGTAATCCAGAATTGTGAAGTTTATTGCTCGGGATTAAGAAAGAACTGGGACACAGGCGATGGGCCTACTTGTCACCGTGAACTGCGGCTTATCTTTGGAATTTTGAACCACGTTTAATTCAAGAAAACTTTACTGAGTTTGCCAAGAACTGCTCTAAAAACAGAATTCAGCAGTGAACAAACCTGGTACAGTCCACCTTAAAGCTGACATTCCAGAGGAGACAGAGTGCAGGCACAGAGCCAGCCCTGAGTGGGGAGCGCGCTAAGAGGCGACTTTGTACAGTGTGTGCGTTCGGGGCGGGCTTCGTGGGCACAGAAGTTTGAAACAAGACCTGAATGAGGTGGGAGGGAGAATGAGGTGCAAGTGGTGGGAGAAAAGAGGTCCATGCAAGGGGAACAGCCAGCGCAGAGGCCACGCGGTTCAGGAACAGCAGGAAAGAAGGTCGGGGACACAGGGTCCTGGAAGGCGCTGAGAAGCGACCTCGGGAAGGAGGTAGCATCCGGGAGCAGATGAGATGAGGCGAGGCCTTTGGGTTAGAATCGCGGAAGTTCCCGGTGACATTGACAAGGGCGGTTTCTGAGGAGTGTGCAGGGGGAAAGCCTGACTCGAGTGGCCTCCAGAGTGAACTAGGAGAGAGGGCGTGGAAGCGGATAACACCCGCAGCTCTGCAGTGGGGCTGTGGAGACAGCTGGGGCACAGAGAGCACTGTTGTTTTTTTCTTTGGGGTGGGGGGAATAATACTGAATAAAATTATAAACGTATTATTTGTTCAAATATTAAGAAGGGGGAGGACAGTCGCAGAAAAGGTAATGGAGTGGATACAAGGCCGCGCTTGAGGGTGGGGAGACAGGGCCAGATTCCAGACTCTAAATTTAGCTCAGCACAGGCCCGGGGCGAACCTGCACTAGGGTAACCTGACACCTTGGCCAGGGCACCAGGCCCTTGCCACGGCGATGCTGGGTCGGCCTTGGTCAGGAACCGAGAGTGGCGCCCGGCAGGGTTTGTGCGCCCACCTGTCGCGGTCTGTTTCCCGCGGCTGACTGGGTCAGGCTGGGGTGGCCTAGAGAGGCTGAGGGATGGGGTCCACTGGAAGAGGCGGGGGCCGATGGAGCGCGCAGATGGGGGCTCAGGGCGCTGTCCAGCACTAAAACGGCCCTGTGCCTCCCCGCCCGCAGTCAACTTGTGCCTTGCCTCCCAGCTCTCCCGCCCGGCGCGCCCTGGGCTCAAGTCTCTGACTGTCCAGTGGCAGCCCCGCCCTTCCTCTCCCAGTGGGCATTTGGCGGCCAGCCCGGACGTCGCGCTCCGACCCGCGTCCTGTAAGGTCCAGTGGCCGCCAGGGCGGGACCAGACCTAGGTGAGTGGAGAGCGCACATGGCAGCAGTGGGGCCGCGGACCAGCCCCGGCACCGGGGCCGAGGCGCTAGCGCTGGCGGCAGAGCTGCAGGGCGAGGCGACGTGCTCTATTTGCCTAGAGCTCTTTCGCGAGCCGGTGTCAGTTGAGTGCGGCCACAGCTTCTGCCGCGCCTGCATAGGGCGCTGCTGGGAGCGCCCGGGCGCTGGGGCTCTAGGGGCCGCGACCCGCGGGCAGCCATTCCCACTGCCCTGCCCGCAGTGCCGCGAGCCCGCGCGCCCCAGTCAGCTGCGGCCCAACCGGCAGCTGGCCGCAGTGGCCACACTGCTGCGGCGCTTTAGCCTGCCCGCGGCCGCCCCGGGGGAGCACGGGTCCCAGACGGCAGCGGCTGCCCGGTGCGGGCAGCATGGCGAACCGCTCAAGCTCTACTGCCAGGACGACGGACGCGCCATCTGCGTGGTGTGCGACCGCGCCCGCGAGCACCGCGAACACGCCGTGCTACCGCTGGACGAGGCGGTGCAGGAGGCCAAGGTGAGCGCAGGCACCCCTCTCCCCTTCGGTCCCCGGCTCCCTTGCCCGCGGTGCAGAGAACAGACTGGTAGTCAGGAGGCCTGGGTGAGCCCTTCCCTTCTTTCGCCTATTCCAAGAAGACCCGGACTGGCTCCTGTGTTGAGCGCTGTTTTCTGTCACCCCTAACATCACCAATACCCCACTCCACCACCACTGCCTTTCCCTCTGAGCCAGACACTGGGCCACCTGCGCGATGTGGGCCACCTGCGCGATGTGCCCCACGGACTTGGCGATGTTCTTCCTGTCTGATTGGAGCCTCTAGCCTCGTCTGCATCTCCGCAGCTCTCAGCCCGCGGGAAGTCTCCGGCACAGCCACGCAGCCGCTGCCCCGAATCTTATCTTTTTCCCTGAAGCGGTCTCTGCTCAAAGTTCTCACCTCATGGAACTAAGTTGGAGGACCTCTTCAAGAGGTCCAAGGATGGGGCTCCTGGGTTAAGCAGCGCACCTACAGCCGTCTGACTGTGCCAAGGCTGTCGATTCTGGGCCCCCTCCCTCTTCTATTTTCTCGCCGAGCCCCTGCGAGGATGTACGAAGGGGTGGGGCGGGCGGGGAGGCTCGGGTGGCAGTTTCCAGTCCCTCCTTGCTCGCCTATCCTGCTCCAACTTTCCTACCCAGAGGGCTTCCTGATCTAGGGGTGGATAGCAGAGGAGACGACTAGAGGTAGGGCTGCTGGAGGATTGTGTTTCAGTCTGGCTACTCCAGCAGATGCTCTTGGGGTAGCAAGATCCCGAGGCCTTCAGAGTCACCTCGAAGTGTGGCCTGCAGCCTGTAGAGATGACTTCTACCCGGCCTCTCCCTCAGTGAGCAGGCCTTCCCTTTCTCCTGGCTGGCTCCAGGAAGGCACAGGTGGGGGTTTCCAGAATCCCCCCACTTCCCCACACCTTACATTGTTTCCCTTCACTTGCAGGAGCTCTTGGAGTCCAGGCTGAGGGTCTTGAAGAAGGAACTGGAGGACTATGAGGTGTTCCGGTCCACAGAAGAGAAGGAGAGCAAGGAGCTCCTGGTGAGCCAGGCACCCTGTGGGGGCCAACAGAGGCCCACTCAGCATTAGGGCTTGGTGTGCAGTGTTAAGAGTATGTGCTATGGAACCACAGGGTGGATTTCACAAAGATAATAGAGTGTATATTATATAGTGTGACCGTGTAATTATTGTACAAACCAGAGCTTTTGAGAGTTAAAGAGAGTGCTAAAATAATTATTGCAAAACTACTGGCTTAAACTGGAACTGTCCCAGTGAATCAGAATGTACAGTCACTGTGATATTACCTAACATGCCAGTTAGAGCCTGTGGAAGCATCTTGTAGTAGAACACATTAATATTTCTGCAGAGAAACATGAATATTCAGTAAGTGGGAATATTAACACAATAAAGAGCCTCAGATCTGTTCATGGCATGTTTTGTCAACAAAACAGTAGTGAAAAAAAATTTCATTTTCAGAGATTTTGATTTGAAATTGAGGCTAAGGGAGAAATGGCTAGAGGATGTCAGAGCTGCTCCCTGGCTCTGGTAGAAAGACGAAGTTTGGGGCCTTGGGTTCACAGTAGCCCCTGCTGCACAGCCCAGGGTCTGGGTACTAGCACTCCTCCACCCAAAGTTGGAAGATATTTTATCTTTCTTAGAATAGAACAGGAAAGTGAAATGAGGGCTCATTTTGGTGAAGATAGGCAAACATGAATCACCAATGGTCATTTTCTACCTTGCAAATTCAGTTGCCAGTTCAGTAAATAGATGTCCAAAGAATGAAAGGATCTACTAGGGCCTGTCAAGGCAGGGAATTGGAAGAAGATGAACTAGAGGACCCTCCTATCCTCAATGTCAGGAGGGGTAGGGGAGATGCCTGGAGTTCAAACACCCTAAGGTCGGTTCCAGACCCTCAACTATATCTGTTATGTCTGCATCCAGTGTTCATCCCAGACTTTCCCATTCGATCACTTACTTCCCTCCATGAGCTCACCCTCCAGACCTTCATCACTCCTCTGCTGGAGATACAGCCCCAACACAGCTCTTCTGTCGTTGGTTGACATCCATGAACCAGAGAGCCTTCCCAGGCATTGGTGGCAGCGGAGGTCTCTGATCCAACTCCCCAGGCCTTGCTTCGCACCTTCCAACTCTGTCCTCTCCTAACACCCGCCCATCCACCCCCACATTCATTTTTATTGTTTTGTTTTGCTTTGCTTTTAGAAGGGTCTCACTTTATCACTATGGCTAAAGCAGTTTAAGTGATCCCCCCACTTCAGCCTCCTGAGTAGCTGGGACTATAGGTGTGCACCACTACACTCGGCTAATTTTTAATTTAGTTTTTGTAAAGTTGTAGTAGGGTGGGGTCTCCTATGTTGCCCAGGCTGGTCTGGAACTTGTGGACTCAAGCAATCCCCCTCCTCAGACTTCACCCCTCTCAGTCTCCCAAAGTGCTGAGATTACAGGTCTCCCAAAGTGCTGAGATTACAGGAGACTACATAAAGAATGAGCTCCATCCATTCTTCACAGTGATAAAATACTTCTATGATTTACAATACTTGTGTTATTTACAATACCCTGCTTAATGAAACATCAGAGGTAGAGTCCAACTATCACTGCAACATAAAAGGAAGAGGGAATATTCTTATTTGAAAATACTCCTACCCCAGGGGACATCTGGCAAGTCTGGAGATATTATATTTTTGGTTGTCAACAATGGGATAGGGACAATATTGGCATTTGGTGGTAGAGGCCAGAAGGGCTGCTAAACATCCTGCAAGGCACAGGACAGCCCCCCACGACCAAGAAGTATCTGGCCCAAAACGTCAACTGTGTTAAGGTTGGGAAACCCTGGTTTAGACTAGTATTTTGGCAAATACTGTTTCACTTGTGTTATTTCCTTGCAAGGCAATATGATGTAGCTGGCAGAAGCTCAGCTCTGGGGTCTGGCTCCCTGGCCTAGAAGCCTGGCTTAACACTTTCTGGTGATGTGTCTGTCTTTGTCTCCTCACCTGTAAGACTCGAGGGGAAGTGTGCCCACCTCACTGGGCTACTGTCAGGGTTGAGGGAGTTAATATCTATAAGGCGCTAAGGGCTACTGCAGCCTGCCTGGAAGCTGAAGGTAAGGTGAGGGCACTGCGGGACACCTGAACCCAGGTCTCCCAACTTCCTAGAATTCCCTTCCTCTGTCCAGGAGTTTTCAAGGAAGAGGAACTTCCTGGTGGGACATACAGAGTACCACAAATGTGTGCACATAAAAAAAATCAAGAGATCAGGGAATGAGTCTGCATCTGAAAACCAAGGAGTAAAAAGTCCTGTGTATGCCGTTAATGGAAAGAATAGAATATCCAGCTTGCATGTAGCATATTCTCACTTAGTTCCTTGTGGGTATGCTGCTACCTCTGTTCACTGGCATTGGATTTTTCTTCCTCCTTTCTACTTTCCTACCTCTCCTAGGGTTTGTATTTTGAGCATTTGTTACCATTATAATTACTAAACAGGAAAGATCGCCTTTAAAAAGAAGTAAAGTGAAGAGTGAAAGTTTGAGGGTGATGAAGTAAATGTGCTTGAGGAAGAAAAAGCAATCTCCGTTTAATCCTATGGTTGCCCCAGGAGACACTAATTTATCCCTTCTGCTTTTTTTTTTTTTTTTTTTTGAGATGGAGTCTTGCACCGCCTCCTGGGTTGGAGTTCAATGGCATGATCTCGGATTATTGAGACCTCTGCCTCCTGCCTCAGTCTCTTGAGTAGCTGGGATTACAGGCATGCGCCACCAGGCCCAGCTAATTTTGTATGTTTAGTAGAGACGGGGTTTCGCCATGTTGGTCAGGTTGGTCTTGAACTCCCGATCTCAGGTGATCCTCCAGCCTTGGACTCTCAAAGTGCTGGGATTACCAGTGTAAGCCATCACACCTGGCCTCCCTTCTACTTTTCAAGTAAGGAACCTGCAGGTTGGCGTACTTCTAGGTAGAGTATGATGCTACCTTGGTTTAGGTGGTGGAGCCCAGATCCACAGACGTGCAGGCACATCTATGGCAGGGGAGAGAAAAGTATGTGTCAAGACTATCGCTTGTTTGGAGCTGGGACACTGAAAATAAAGCATGCACTATGTGCATAGATGGTGTATCTCTGATCCTCCAGCAGTGACAGGGACGAAACTTTGCCCCGTGATATGACTCAGGTCCCTGGCCAAATGCTATATCTCCATGCCCAAGTCCCCTACCTCTCCAATTTCTCTTCCTGAGACAGAAGCAGATGGCAGCGGAGCAGGAGAAGGTGGGGGCAGAGTTCCAGGCACTGAGGGCCTTCCTAGTGGAGCAGGAGGGCCGGCTGCTGGGTCGCCTGGAGGAACTGTCCCGGGAAGTGACACAGAAGCAGAATGAGAACCTGGCCCAGCTCGGGAGTGAGATCACCCAGCTGTCCAAGCTCAGCAGCCAGATCCAGGAGACAGCTCAAAAGCCTGATCTTAACTTTCTCCAGGTGAGTCTTGCTAAGCAAGGAGCTTGAGTCATTTATCCTAAGGTATCAGGACCCACAGCTAGAGAACAGTGTCAGTTCTGGGGGGTTAGGAGAATCATATGATCTGGAGCTGAAGGGGACTGGCAAGAAGTCCCCCGATTTTCCTGGGTTTGGAGATCTAGAGGGATGTGATAAAACTTTCTTGACCATGAGCCACAATAATATATATCATATTTCAGAATCATATGCTTGAGACCAAAGTCTTAGAAAATACTACTCACCTTTGCTAGAGGTGTACACTTTGATGTTTTCTATTGTATTTCACTAAAAAACAAAATAGTTATAAACCACAAACTTAGACAAACTTCACAAACCACAGATGGGTTAAGAACAGTCATTACTGGGCTGAGTGAGCAATAGGTACATAAGGACTGTGACCTCCCTCAGGTGGTTTTCAGGACATAGGCAGCACTGGGTCCATGGGATAGCTCCAGTGATGATTCTGTAATAAAGAAAGCAGCTGGGCATAGTGGCTTATCCCTGTAATCCCGGCACTTTGTGAGGCTGAGGCAGGAGGATTGTTTGAGGCCATGAGTTTGAGACCAACCTGGGCAACATATCAAGACCCTGTCTCTACAGCAAATTAAAAAATTAGGAGCCTGTAGTCCCAGTTACATGAAAGGTTGAGGCAGGAAGATTGGTTGAACCCAGGATTTTGAGGCTGCAGTGAGCCATGATCATGCCACTGCACTCCAGCCTGGACGATAGAGTGAGATCCTATCTCTAAAAAACAAAAAACCGGCCGGGTGCAGTGGCTCACACCTGTAATCCCAGCACTTTGGGAGGCCAAGATGGGCAGATCACAAGGTCATGAGATCAGGACCATCCTGGCCAACATGGTGAAACCCCGTTTCTACTAAAAATACAAAAATTAGCTGGGCATGGTGGCTCATGCCTGTAATCTCAGCTACTTGGGAGGCTGAGGCAGGACAATCACTTGAACCTGGGAGGCAGAGGTTGCAGTGAGCTAAAATCGCACCATTGCACTCCAGCCTGGGTGACAGAGGGAGACTCTGCCTCAAAAAAAAA